CCGGTTCAACGGCCGTGGATCCATCCAAAAGACATGCGAAACGCAGACTCTTCAGTCGTGTGAAACTGCGATCTCAACGACGGAGGCATGGACTTCTGGAAGATGTCTTGGAGGACATCTCTCTCTCTCTCACTCTCTCTCTCTCTCTATGCATGTATGTATGTATCTATCTATCTATCTCTATCTATCTGTCTCTATCTATCTATCTATCTCTATCTATCTATCTATCTATCTCCATATCCATATCCATATCCATATCCATGCCATACATCTATCATATATAACTATATAGATATACATTATATATACCCCCTGCCAGGACCAATTTGGTCGCCGGATGTGGAGGGGGTGAACATCTATCTCTGATGAGTCAAAGGATACCCACTCATGCATCTCATTGAGGTTGCTTTAAAGCGCTTTAAAGCACCTCAAAACCAAGAAGCAGCAAGAAGCACGATTGCAAAGCATGAAGGGATATCAATCTTGACGAGGTATGGCAACAGCAAGGTTGATGTCCCTTAATGCTCTGCAATCGCTTCGTGCTTTTCTTTAAAGCGCATTAAAGCACTCAACATGCAAACAAATCCTAAGACAAGGTATGGCACAAGCAAGATTGATGTCCTTTAATGCCCTGCATTTGTTTTTCTTGCTTTCGATGTGCTTTAAAGCGTTTTAAGCCACTCAACATGCAAACACAATGCTAAGACACGATATGGCAAAATCAAGATTGATGTCCCTTAATGCCCTGCAATCTTGCTTCTCAGTTCTTGCTGTTTGGCCTGCTTTACAATGCTTTAAGGCAACTACGTGCATTGGCTTTTCTTTACTGATGTTAATTTATTGTTGTACCGGTTTGAGATTCCATTGTTGTTAGTATACATATATATATATATTTGTTTTTTGACCATCTGTAATATTTGCTTTTACTTATCACTTTTTTGTGTACTCCAGTTTTTTCAGAAACACATGAGAAAACACACTGTTGAGTTTGATGAAGACAAGGTATGCTGTAGAACATGTGCTGTAGAACATGTTACCAATATTATCAGAACAACCAGGATAAATACATTGAAGTTCGAAGAACCCTTTATAAATAAAACGATCAATATAGGAAAGTCAAAGGAAGGATGGTAAAAATCATTACCTGGTCTGCTTGCAATTGTTCTATGAGCCAAGGGTGCTATCAAGTGCTGCATCTCAAATCAAAGAAACTTATATAACAAAAACCTGAGCACAATCTGGTTTTAAATGGTTCGAACACCGTTCACCAAGTTAATTTTTGTGTGATGAGTTGTGAGACTGCTATACGTTATGTTGTAAGAAATGAAATGCCTGGCTGTGATATGCTGCGATAAATCGATCTAAAAAAAAAAACATCATATATTTTTTCGATTTTTTCACCCCCTTCAAGGTCAACAGGGTCAACCAGGATTGAGATGGGAGGCATTGGAGACCACATCACCCTAATAAAGGTGATGACCTGATGATGGATGATGTTTGATCGGATTCTGTGTGAACCATGAGAGTTTGGCATATTCGCCCAAGTTTGGCATATTGAACCATCAGAGCCATGCCAATTGGGACCTTGCGTTTGAGAGCATGGAGGAGGAATTGGCCATGGAGGCCCGATGTGGTGAGAATGATCTACAATAGATGAGATCATGAAGACACCAGCATCCAAAACAATGAAAACAATAACACCAGCTGGAATGATTTCATGCAAATGGCATGGGAAAAGGGTGGATCAAAAGTCAGTTTCACCGTGGATCAGTTTCTCTATAGCCGGAAGATATTGGATGCTAACTGAAAAGAAAGTAATTTAAGGAACAACTTGTGTTAATTCATTAACAAACCATATTTAATACAATTTTCCGGGGACAAATGGGCTTGATTAATAGGGGGACGTGTCTGCTTGCAGGGAGGCCAATGTGGAACTTAGGTTTTGAATTGGTTTAGTATTAGGGGCTTGAGATGGCCTTGATTAATGTTGGGTAATGCAAAATTATTGAAAAATAAGTCTGGACCCCCTGCTTGTTTTAAGGGTCGTCTATTCTGCTTCAAAAAGATTGGATCCTAATTGTTTATTATCTGAACAAATATTTAGGGTTAGTTATATTTCCTGTCAACAACTAAAAATAGTAATTTTTAGTTCTACTAAGCCAATGGTTGGCTTGCTGAGAGGATTGATAAGTATAGGTTTCTATAGTTATTCTTCCAAAGTGACAGCTTCCCAAAACCATCAATTCCCTCATCAATCCTTTATGTAAAGATTGCTCCTAAACAAATTTTCAAGGTAGTAGACCAGGAAGGCCCGTGATCCTCAATAATGATTTTGTTTTACAGGTCCTCAATTGTGCAACGTTTTTTCCTGAAGAAACATAACAATAGTAATTCTTATAATTTTACTACTACTAAGCCAATGGTTGGCTTGCTGAGAGTATTGATAATTGATAAGTATAGGTTTCTCAAGTTCTTCTTCAAAACTCACGGCTTCCCAAAGCCAGCAATTCCTTATATAATCAATCCTTTATGTCGTAGTATGAAAGGATTGCAAAAATATCTAATGACAAAGAATTCAGAAAGGACAATGAATACTACGATCAATTACAAAAGGAATCCTCCCAGGAACCCAGATTTGTTTTGGTGGTAGTTTATTATAGAGGCTCTTCCATTTGTTAGAGGGGGGGCCCTTTACTAATCAGGATCCAACATTATTTGTGGAAGATTACTTAATCCTATGTTAACAATATACCAACAAGAGGTCTCATGAAGAGCAACCACTGACCTGATTTCAATCCATTCCATAGTGCACAAGGGCCATTTGACTACAATGCCTGTGAATCACACATGAAAATGTCGGTCTTGGGGGGGTGTAGCAAATATGAAATGCACTCTATCCATCATAGCGCAATGGAATTGTCTTGACATGGCATGTCAATGGAATTGACCAGCGAACCCTTTCCCTCCCTTTTCCTCTGAAAGCCCTTGAAAAAACTCAACCCCCTGTTGGGGATTAAAAAGAACAGAAAACGACGTTATGCGGGTGTGGTTTTTACGCGTTTTTGTGATTTGTGGTTTTCTGTGTTTTTTTGAAAATGTTAGTTGTTTTGAAGAACGTGTCTAGCAAAAATGTCGACTTGTAATCTATCAAATTTCTCATCAATCTGATTCAAACATACTAGTTCTCATTGATTCCCACACAGAAGTCCATCAACCATCATCTATCAGCAAGTCCACGACATCCCATCATACAACATCAGGTCATCACCTCTATGAGGGAGATCTGGTCTCCAAGACCTCCAATCTCAATCAGTCCTCAATCTCCAGCAACTGGGGCCTGGGCCAGGGCTTCTCTAGGGGGGGGGGGGGG